TATTTTAAACTACAGATGCCCTCAGCTTCATTTCGCAGCAGCACTTCTATGATTCTGAACATTCCGATGATAATATGTTTGTCTTGGCCCGAAATTTCTCACCATCATGAAAACACTCGATTTAGTTAATTGACATCGATATCCATACGACTAGACCCGACGAACATAATTCTGGACGAGGAACGTTGACAGTTTGCGGAGGAACATCTGATACTCATACGGTTACTGACCTCACTGTTATCTGATCATTATTGTTTTCAATTAGATCTTCAGCAGGCTGATGAATGTCGGAACTTTTTAGGTAGGATTAAATGTTCAAACTAGTTTGTATTTCGTAATACAACTGACCCGATTTAACATATCTTTTTAAGTTCTAAGTACAATGTATACAGTTAGATTCCTATTTCGTAAAACTTTATTGCTATGAGTAACCATCAAACCAATTGTATCGCAATTCTTTTACAGCTAAAAAAAACGATTCATATTTCTGATATGAACGAAAAAGATTGAGGTGATTACAATGTTCAATGTAACATATGCGTTTTGTTTTGTTCAGCACATTAGGATTTGAGGTACTTACTTGTATTGTGATGTTGGTATTATTTTGATTCAGTGAGAATAATTTGTTTCAGTATACCATATATCTAGAAGTCCATAGTCGATTTCTAAGTTTCATTGGCGTATATGTTGGGGATGTTTTCAGCCCAATCTATTGTAGGCCCGCAGATTAATGTGTCTACTACCGACAGATCTTACCACTCAACAAGTCTTTTTCACATGGTACTTTGTTCGTATTATATAAAATTTTGAGGCCTTTAAACTGTGGGGCTGCGTGTATTGACTCACTAGTGCTTTAATAATGCCACCGCTAATTAGCACTGCGTCTGGATTTGCCCCCGAACACGTTAAAAGTCTTCGTTAATAAAAGATGTATTTAGCAACTAGATGTATAAGTAAGGACATTAATCAATTGACAACCCATCTGCTGCCTACAAACTTCCGTAGTTGTACAACATATGAATGCATTCAGATCTCGGCTTGAAGGTTTGAGTGTTGATGTATGTGTTATCCCATTTCTAGTGTGTCCCTGCGATGGTCCTATCTTTTATTAAATCAGTTAATTAAACATACAGACACCGCTTCTGGTAGTAAACTATAGGAGTTGGTTACTTGAACTTATAACCTGTACAACACAGGCACTTTGTTCATTCATGGCTTTTAGATTCGATTGTTGTCCTGTTTTTTTTTTTCTTAAAAGAAGAGATGCCAAATCCGAGACATTTTCTTAGTATTCTGTACGCCGTATATCGCCTCACACTGTCGTAAAGTTCATGAGTTTAATTTCTCAGACTAAGAACATTCAGGAAAACATAGGTATTCTCTGCTCTTTCCTAGGAACCTGATTCGTACTTCAAACGGAATTGAAACTTACCATAATAGTGTAAAATGACAAGCGTATTGTTTGTCTAATCCACTGGAAGTTCATTCAAATACCCTCTTTTGTCCTAAGTTTATTTGTGGCTTAAACACGCAGTGGACCGTGGTCTTCAGATCATATATATATATATAACATTTTGGTGCTGCTTCTCATTATATTTTGATGTCTTCGGCCTAAACTATTGTATGGAGTTTGATGTATGGAAGTTCGTTAAAATTATCTATTATATGCTAAAATACACGGATCTACGCAAATAGTGACAACGTGACTAGTCTTATTTCGTACAGATGACTCATTCAAATCATCAGACAATGACAAAATTGTTATTTAAGTTTGTGAGATAACTTTTTGCCCGGCTTTTTTGTTAGCATTTATCACTGCAACTACATGTTTATACTCGTTCTTAATATTGCCTCGGTTATGAGATCTCTTTGACTATTCACGTAGCTAAGGACTTAGCAGATGCGTTTAGTTATTGATTTGATTGCTAGCACTCGTACTTGGAGTGTCTAAAGCAATGAAAGATACTCCTAGTATGGGTTTGTCACATATGTACATGGAAACAAAGCTTTATGCCTAACGGTCCTCCGGTCAACTTAACATATTTAAGGTCATAGTGTGAGTTAAGAATGGATGTTTCCAGGCGACTCAGTTTCATAATTTGAGTCAACACATTGCAGCTTGTAATGTAGTGCCACCTGGTTGCCTGAACTGATGCGAGGTGGGGTTCAACTCCGTGGCTCAATAGTTGAAAGTCGAATGCCCTGACCACTGAGTCACCACTCGACTATTCCTGTTATTTTAGGGTGGACGATTTGAACATCCTGAGGTCAGTTACCTTAACGACATTCGACCACCATGACTAGAAATCATAAAGGACTGTGTGACTATCGGTCGTATGCTTTTGTTTGTCAAACTATGATTCATGAAATTCACAATAAAACTAAACAGTAACTGACTTCCTCAAAGATCTGTCTTGGTAAACTTTTTTCTTGGCATAAAATTTAAAATCTATTCCTCTCTAACTTTGAGTTACATAATATGTATTACTCCTTGCTTTGGACATTCCATATATTTAACTATACGTCTGAAGCGTGTATTCACTGTCAAAGTCTGTGCAGGTGTACAGATGTTTTCTACTCCGGGGGTAGGCTAACCTGTTTTTCTTGAAGGAAAGCTGTATGTACCGTCTTGCAACAGGCTTGAGTTAAACATTAACACGATTACAGTAATTTTGTTGTGAAGTTTGTAAAATTAGCGTTACTCATGCTAAGTCGTTGCTTGAAAATGGATGCTACACTCGGGGTTGGATTAATCACTGACTATAAAACTTAGTAGCGTAATAAACTGTCACTTTCCTAAACAATAAAAATTAGGTAGCTAGCTAGTAGACAATGGTCAGAAATGTACCACTTTTACCAGTTCCCTTACCTCCCTGCCTGTATAAGATCTCTTGTCCAATTCAAATCAAGGCGTAATGCACAAAACTTATGCTCTTTACGACTGGATTGCGATACTTAGTTTATCTTTAACCTACTTTTAGTTCACTTGGTGATTGGTGTAATTTACGTAGAATTCGATTTTATTGTTAAATCAAATAAGTCTACTCACAAAAGTAACATTCTGATTCACGGTGAAATTCATACTTAGATGTGTTCAAATTCCAAAGCATAGTGCTCGTCGTTCATTATTTTTGCTTATTATTTATTATTATTATTTATTTATTTTAACACATAGGTATTAGTACAAGAAGGCACCAAATACATATGTGCCACACAAATCTCATTTGATTTGTGTGAGGACTGTGATGCTGCTCGGGTGCCCAAACCGAAGCAGGTGGTTTTCTTAGGGGGCCACACCCCGAGCCTTTGACCTGAACGTCTGATCCACAAGGCAGTGGAGCATCGTGAGGAGATGCAGTCCCATGGTAGCCGGTGACCAACGATTGGTTCATACGCCATTTGTTCCCGCAGGATACTGGAGCCCATGTGCACCATTGGTTTGGGATCCGGTTAAAGCGCCGGACATTCGCTTTTCGTCCTCTCATTTTCGTAAACAACAGTAATGCCACGAGAAGGCAGTGAGTAGGACTTCCCTGGCAGAGGCTATCTACGCGTGGCCATGTGAGAGCATTTCAAGAGCATTTCACTATCTGCAGAGATAGTGAAAGTGGTTGGGAACTATGAAGTACTGATGCGTAATTGTTTAGTGCTGTGTGGCTGTCTATCAGGCTTTCAAAGAAACTAGTATGTAAGGAGTTTTGAAAAATTAACGTCTCCCATAGGGATCTATTTGGAACATGTGAGCTAGATAGTTACGTTGACTACTCATGTTCCATTTGCTAGCCTGAAAATAATCAACTGTACATCTTTTTACTGTGGATTGTCTCCATTGTGAAATTAATCTGATCAGCTACAGCATAATTCAACCGAAGTGCAATTATTGTAGTTAACTTTATTTGATCGACCAGGACTTACTAGTCTCAGCTATCAAAAGACATCAGAGAAGTTTATCAGCCGTTGATAGCGATAATGATTAGATTAAAAAAGCTGAATGGTCGCTTGGTGTGGTTGTGAAGGTAAACCGACTGAATATTGTTTCTATTCGGCCAAATTTTCCACCCATTTATTTAGTCCTTTTAAGAAGAAACTTTCAGAAGTCCATTCTTCTACTTTCACTATCTGCAGAGATAGTGAAAGTGCAACCAACCAGCACACTTTGGGCAATACTTTGTGTACTTGATTGTATATGTAGATCATTTTTTTGTCTATCATACTCCGGAATCGGCTGATTTCATCTAATTACCCACCACAGTAACTATTCAGGGTATTTATAGTCCTCAAGTGTTGTTCCTCTGTATGTGAATCCCTCCAGAAGTGAGGATTACAATGATCTGATCTTAACATTTCTCATCCAACACTGCGAATTCCGACCCATTTCTGAGTATAATTTTTTCCAGTAGGAGTAATATTAGATAACTATTTATGTAAACATTAGTCACGTCTATGCATTTTAGTGCTAAATGCGAAAGGTATGTGTAAGTCAAACGGAGACAACGCCAGATCACTAAGTCTTTGCATTTGGACTGAGAAATTCCGGAAGGTAATAGTTTTTTACTGGTTGTAAGTCGTCCTGGTTATAGTATTGAATAGTTGGAGATCCTCACTGTCATGCCTCGAAACTTTTTCTGTTTTGCTGAACTCACGGTTCATGTTTTGTAAGTTTTTAATGAGGTTCTTTGTGTAGTTTTGTAAAATTTGATTATCTTTTTGTTAACTTTCACTATTCTGGTCTGAAGTGTTACAGTTCGTGTCGATGCACACTTTCATCAGGTCGTACGGAATTTATCACTAGTCTCCATACTTTACAGATAAGACAATAAATGTCACCAAAAACAGTTCCCTAGTTTTGGGGCCATATTTCAGTATTTCCGTTATGTAAAAAATGGCTGGGTCTAAGTAAAAAGGATTACCGTTTTACTCTTATGTATAAACATTTAGTTATTTGTAACAGGAAATGTACTTAAAAACAAAACTTCATTAAGTGGATTCTTTTTAGGTTTATGGATCCAAATCGCATTCAACCCATAATGCTGTCTCAATCTGGGTACATACTACCTCAACCAGGACTCAGTCTTGTTTCTCCTTTGCCTAGCGGTGCTACTGCGTATGCCCACCAACCATCATATCAAAAGTCATTATACTTTCCGTTGTCGTTTACTGGTTATAATGACCCTCAAGTTAATGAAATGGACTTCTCCAGCTCCCAGCTTCAGAGTACTTACACTTCGCCTGCCGATGTGCTGGAAAAAGACTATCAAATTGTTACTTATGAAGAGCTTGAGAAATTACTCCCAGAACCCAAACCATCTGGTCGCGTCGAGTTGGGTTTGCTTCCGAATGGGTGTGCTTATGCACCTAAAACAGCAAGTCGAGAAAATTACTTGTTATTTGCATCAAAATATAGCTATATATTGTATTTCACGTAAGTTTCTAACTGTCAGTTTGCCTTTCTTAAAGACATAAATATCTCAACATACGTTGTACCGTTAACAGACATATCTGTTTTCACTTTAAAGCGCTCTAAAGGTAATATAATCATTAGAAACATCTAAGTTTTCCGAAAAGTGTTCTGGTGATAACTACGAATTAAGAACGCCGTAAAACGAAAACATCGTCAGCTCAACAAATTATTCCAGACATGATGTCATGCATCAAACTCAACAAAATCCCTTAACACAGTTTTATTCTTCTACTTCCAAACTAAACTGTTTCATATTATAATTGCTGATACAACAACCATAGCGAATCTGCACTACCATTATGAATCGTTCTGTTCTCAACAGAGACCATTAATAATGTATTGGATGCATAAAAACCACACTGGGTACGTATGAATTAAAGTATAGGATATGCGCACATTTCCGCACACTTATTTCCTGCTAGTCTACCATTGTTGCTACCTTGACGTGGTGGTCGGGCTTGCCAATCGTGATGAAGCAACCGAGTTGTACTGACTGAAACAACCGTTCCTCATAGTCCTAACATGTGAGACAGGTCGATCGAAGAGCAGTAAGACTAATAGCAACAAACTTAAGGTCCAAAGGCGGAGTCGTACTGCTGACTGTACAGAGATGTGACAGCAGTAAGGTGTTTCTTTCAGACAACCAGCATGACAGTGATGTTGCCTCCCCACAAGGAGCGGTGGGATTAGAAAAGGTCGACCCTAAAAGTGCACACCTCGTTTTATCCCACGGATATCCGTCTCCGGTAGTGAGGTCTCAACAAGTACGGAGCTAACACAAAATTTACTCATAAAAAAGTTGTGTGTGACCGACCTCAAGCACTGAGGTCACAATCTCAAGTCACTAAGACCACCTCTAATCCAATTTTCTTTTCAGCTACTCCAAAATAAACCTCCACGGTGTGGGCAACCGAGAAGTGATAACCGCCCTTATACCTCTAACAGCACTCAAGACCACTGTATTCATCATCAACCTGCCTCTTCAATTCCTATTATTCCTCCAACATCGGCTTTCAAATCTAAACTTCCTCATTCGGCTTCCTCCTCAAGTGTCACCATAGCCAACGATTTTACTGCGCAAAATACTGTCCCAGGTCTACTGAAACCTCGCTCCAAACTACACATTAGAGCCTTCAACGTACGCAACCTATGCCAAATCAACCAACAGGCTTCCTTGGCTAAAGCCCTAGAATCTCATACCATTGATGTATGCTGTGTCTCCAAAACACACATACAGGATCCTAGTATGGTCATTCACTTGACCTCACCTCGGCAAAACGGAGAGCTGACGAGATACACCCTCCGTGCATCTGGCGGCTCGATAGCTAGTTCTCGTGAACTGGCAGGTGTAGGCATAGCACTAAGCATGAGGGTGGAAGAAGCGCTATTATAGTGGATTTCCGTTAACAGTCGTTTATGTGCTGTTCGACTAAACGGCTCCGTAAGAACTCGGAAGGATATGGACACACGTCGTTGTCTTTTTGTTGTTTCTACCTACACTCTCACTGACTGCAGCTCGGATGAAGTGAAAAATGAATTTTACAGAAAACTCTCTGAACTTCTTCAGAAAACTATACGTTCAAACATAGTGCTGTTAGGAGATGACTTTAATGCAGAGATAGGTAGTTTAAACCAAACAGAAAGACATTTAGGTGGGTATTTTGGTATTTCAACACAGCGAACGGATAATGGTGATCGTCTGTTGCAACTGTGCTGTAACAATCGTTTACTTTTAGCAAACACAAATTTTAAGCATAAGGAGAGACATCGTCTAACATGGCGACTCCCTGCACAAAATCAACGATGGACTCAAATAGACCATATTGCCATCAGTCATCGTTGGAGAGGGTCAATAGAAGATTGTCGCTCATCCTGGAGTACCTGCTTGGACTCCGACCGTGCCCTAATACGGGCACGCATCTGCTTGCGCCTTACAGGACGCAAAAAAGCCACATTAAAAAGACCCATTGGAACTGAATTGAGTAACGAGAAAACCAAATTAGGTTCCAGGGACAACTGAGGTCACACTTAGGTAGTTCTGAAAACGAGGCTGACCCAGATGTTGCTTGGAAAGTTATACAAGCAGCTGTGGAAATAGCAGTGACATCTATTAGTGATTTAAACCACAGGGTTACAAAGAACCAATGGATTTCTTCAAGGTCTATTGCACTGATGGATTCTCGTAAAGTCATCCCATCAGGTTCTGAACACGATGAAGAGCGTAAACAGATCAGATCTAGGTTAAGTAAAAGTCTAAGGAACGACCGTGAGCAGTAGTGGGCATCGAAAGCTAAACAGATGGAAAAGGTGGCGGCTATAGGGGACACAAAACAGCTCTACAGACTAATAAAAGAAACCAGAATTAATAAGTCAAGTGTAAGTCAGACTATTTTGGAAAAAGACGAAGCTCTTATCTGTTCGCAGTCCAGGCGTTTAGAACGATGGGCGGAACATTTTAGAGAACAGTTCAGCTGGCCTTCAGCTACTCTACAACTACCCTGCATTCCCAGACAGTGAATGGAACATTGAAGTAGGTCCCCCGACTCGAGCTGAAGTTCAAAATGTTATAGTAAATTTGAAACGAGGAAGGGCAGCTGGTCCAGATGGATTGGTTTCAGAGGTCTTTAAGTATGGTGGTCCAATTTTAGCGATTAGGTTGACTAATACTTTAGCTAAAATCTTGGAGTTAGACGTAATCCCATCTGACTGGTCATAATCACTTATTGTCCTAATATATAAGAGAGGGTCAAAATCATTTTGTGACAACCATAGAGGGATTAGTTTAACTAATATAGCATCTAAAATACTAGCGTAAATAATTATTGGTCGTCTAATTAAGACTCGTGAACTGCAAACACGAGAAAATCAGGCTGGCTTCAGACCTGGTTGTGGCTGCATCGACCACATATTCACCACTCGTCATGTTCTAGAACACAGGCATACTTATCCGCGTCCGACAATGGTGTTCTTTGTTGACTTAAAAGCAGCATTTGACTCCGTAGACCGCGAGATTCTGTGGCAGTATCTGTCACTGAAAGGTGTACCTCAGAAGTACATAAACCTTATGAAGTCTCGTTACTCGAATACTACTAGTCGAGTCAGAGCTTATGGCGAACTGTCATCTGATTTTGCAATTTCAAGTGGTGTCCGTCAAGGCTCGTAAGCTATTTTTATTATTTATTTATTTATTTTAACACATAGGTATTGGTACAAGGAGGCACCAAATACATATGCGCCACACGAATCTCGATTGATTTGTGTGAGGGCTGTGATACTGCTCGGGTGCCCAAACCGAAGCAGGTGGTTTTCTTAGGGGGCCACACCCCGAGCCTTTGACCTGAACGTCTGATCCACAAGGCAGTGGAGCGTCGTGAGGAGATGCAGTCCCATGGTAGCCGGTGACCAACAATTGGTTCATACGCCATTTGTTCCCGCAGGATACTGGAGCCCATGTGTACCATTGGTTTGGGATCCGGTTAAAGCGCCGGACATTCGCTTTTCGTCCTAGTGTTTGACCACAGATGCCTTAGAAATATTGCTGGCATCTACTGTGATCAGCGCTAAGTGAGGTTAGACAGAGGGTATTAGGGAATGATGGTAAATCAGTTGATGAGGTTGTGAATCTTCATCGACTGAGATGGTTGGGCCACGTGTTGTGTATGCCTGAACACCGATTACCACGACGCGCAATGCTGACCGGTGTTGGGGATGACTGGAAGAAACTTAGAGACGGCCAAACCAAAACGTGGCATCAGTGCTTGAAGTCACTAAATTCTGGTCTTAGCCATGTTGGTAGATGCAGACTACTTAGTTGGGGTCCGCGTGACTGTCGTAACCAATGGTTGAAGACTCTTGGTGACATGGCTCAGAATCGATCACAATGGCGTCGGTGTATACACTCTCTGTTTTCCTTTAAACTAAGAGATTAAAATCGCTTCATATCTTTCTACGTACTAAATCTTTCTTCCTGTACTATCTGCTTATATGCAATCTTTCTTTTATATATTACCATGATTGGCTTAACTACTTCTATGAATTTGGTGTTCATCTTGTTGTGCTAATGCGGTATAGCAACTTAGACCGATGCACATATGTTCCTAGTCCTACGTTGTAGCTGACTGACTGAGTCTACACAAGGGGAATTAATTCCACTGCTACAAAAAAGTCCGGAATCTGACGACTGTAACTCTCAAATACAATTTAATAGCAGCCACATACAATTTGTTTGTTTTAGTAATTAATAATAAACAACCTTCCTAGTGGTAAAATCTTAGTACGCATAGATATGGTAACCATGGGTAAAGTTTTCTACACACTCAAATGTTACCACCTTGTGTTATCTTATCTCTTGCCTATTTGAGTAAGTCCGATTTAACTGCTCATCATGATAATCCAGTTATATTGAGAGCTTCTATACTTGCGCATTTTGGTGATATTATTCCAATTTCGTAAATGGTGTTTTAATTGCATTAATATCTTGCTATTTTCTTTAAGTCATCATTATTTTTCTCGAGAAAACTTATGCCGGGATCAGACGTTCCTGAATATGCTTGTTGATCGACTGATTTTGCCAATCGAAAAGCTTGTCAAAGCTCCTCGCTTAGCAGCTCTAAATACTACTCATGAAGAAGTGGAAAAAGCTTTACTTGGCAGTAAGATTGTTTGTGTTGAAGATATGAATGCGGGAATGCGTGGTGTTCGCCGCATTGATGGTTGTAAGTTATTTTATTTACGTTAGAATCAGAGTTATTTGATTTCGTTTGCCTTTGACATTTCAGTAGTTCAAATGTAGCTTTGTGGTTTTACACACTTGACATTTCACCATTTGGTCACGGTTTCATTTATTTCCGTTTTGACAACTAGTGTAATATACAGCAGCATTAATTTAGCTTGAGTATATCACTTTTGTATTTTAGACGGTGTGCGCACTCAGCAGTTTTTTGTTTCATAATTATGAACTACTGAACATCGTATTTCTCTTGTTAGAAACACTAATGGGCTCTTTGTTACCGAGATTAAATCGCGTTTTTACTTAAGAACTTGTTTATCAAGGAACTTATTACACCCTCATTGTCTGTTGGTTGCTATTTTCCGACTTAAAAATAAGTATACCTTGTTTATCGTTTGTGTTGCATTCTTATTTCAGATCCTGGTCTGTCTACAAATCCCGATACTTCAATAAATGTTCAATCTGAGAGTGGATTATCGAGTTTTACATCGTCTCAGAATTTAACCTCGTTGATTGGGTCTTTCTCTCTCCAACCACAATTGCCTGATCAACAAATTACTACCAGTCTTCAATCCGTAGTTGTGTTGAGAACTGCTGGTTCAGACAAATTTCGATCTGATGGCGTAATGAGATCTGGACACATAAACCCTGAAACAAGCAAAGAGCTTCCACAAACAAGTACTTTAATTCAAACCCCGGTGACAACGAATGTTTGCATAGCACCTGCGTCTCATCAAATGCCCATTCCATTATTGTTGCCTCTATGTGGTATCGAGAACTGCAGCAATATTCATATAGAATGTGCCGGCACAGCGGGTCCTTCAGTAGGACCTTGTCGTAATACTGCTCCTTGGATATTTCAACGGCCCACAAAACAGTATAATCCATATTCTCGTGTTACACATGTGATAGTTCCTCAGTCTATAAATCAACCGAATTCTACAAATTATAATAAAAGTCAACCGCTCGCGTGGGACCTTCATCAGCGCCCGCATCTCCCAGCTGCGAACAGTACACATTCAAGTGTAGTACCGATACGGCGTCAAACGCATTTGCCTAATTATTTCATTCGTCAGACAGGGAATGTTATAGAGTCATATCCTATCCCATTTTCAATACCACAAACGAGTAACACACATCAACCTTTCAATCTAGCTGTAGCAGCTGCCTTAGCATCAATGAGTACAAGCACCAGTAATAGCATTAATCCAAGCCACTATGGACATCAACCACAGTATTTCCCCAACCAGTTGTTAACCAACTCTTCAAACATCAGTCCAATTGGAGCTAACCAACAACGACCGTCAAATGCACTTTTGAATCACCTCCAAGCAGTAGCTGCCATGTCAGCTGTTGCACAACATTCGAATGCCACACCTTATTTTCAGAATCCAGTATCTCAAACTAATCCTTTTCATATCCCCACCCCTGTACCATTACCAGTGTACTACACCGCTCCACAGTTGTTACAATCTTCTGGTGCGCGGAACTCTTTACAGCGTCTACAACAAAATGTGTATCCGATGCAAAGCTATGGCTATCAAACAGTCCAAAATGTTCCAGTATCTGAGTCTTTGGATAATTTAAGGTCAGATAGTAGATGTGGCTTAACCGTGCCGAATCTCCCACAACATTCAAATAACCTGATTTACCCTATACTGTTGCAACCACCCGTGCATATACAACATAAGTTACCCACACATATGAATGGTTCGGGGTGGCAGGTTCACAACCCCAGTCAGTCGATACGTGGAGCACTCAATTCAGTAGGTATAACGCCTATACCCGTTAATTTCACAGTCATTAACACAAATGGCTCTACTTCGGTAGCCAATAATGGGATGCTCAAAGAGTTACCAACGTTTTCAGACACAAAAGATAATCTTGATAACAATACAGCAGCAGATAATATGGTAGGTGATTCTGCAATAAATGTATCTCTTGCATCTGAAAATCAATTGGATAGTGCATCGTCTGTGTTACCGGGATTAATTTCATCAACTGAAAATTCTACATGCGCAGCTATTGGTGACAATCAGTCTCATAAGCTCCGCAAACAAGTTGAAAAAATGACCTCTCCTGGTTCGGTTCATGATTCTGAGGACTCAGTTAGTTCTGGGATAGGAGACATGACTGCCACTAGCACTGGTGATAATGACAGTCGTAACAATTCGTCGTGCACACCAACCGAACCAACTCGTATTATTCCGAAATCAGAATACGTACGAAACAAGTCTTCAACACGAATTAAAGAAAAACTTACTGGTACATGAGTTTCCGAAATGGTGAAATTCATAATTTTGTATTATCATTCACTGAAACTACAAGTGATCATCCAATATCATGCAGTCATTTGTTCCAAGTAATTTCACACTGCTTGCTGGATAGACAAGTGAAGGAAACTCATAAGCAGAACATATACTGTGCTTACCAGTTATCTTTTTTACCATTATAATTAAAGCGACGGGAATAGAAAAAATGAACCATGACTACTGGCCGTTTCATCATGCATATTCATGAACCACCGTTCCGGTCACAATTACGCTGTTCATTTTCATTACAAATGCTTTATTTTAAGTCGGGAAATACTGTGATTAGAATTCGTGTCATGGCCACTCCTATATGGTGTCTAAGCTGCCTTTTCTTTTATTTTGAAGATTTCTTAGTTACTGTTTTTATTTCACCCTGTTTGTACATATGATTTATTGTCAGTACATACGTATCTATATACCACCGCTTTACTTCAGGCTTCCTTAAGTGTAATCATTTTGCGAAGTATATTGCACAATTTACATTTCACCATGCAAAAGAGAAACTAATTATCCTACCTCACCATATACGTATATCCCAGAAAATCTCCAGATAAGCGCCTTAGGTCTAGATTTTCGTAGTTATATGCAACTAGGAGTTCAAAGGATTAGAACTATACCAAAATCAAATTATTTGTTTTTCATTGACTTTCTAATTACAAACAAGCTGAGATTTTTCCTTATCCGTGCTCTCCCTGAGAGTTATTAATTTAAGCTGCTAAAGCACTTTGATTTCCCATTAAACTGTTTATTTTGAGATATTTTCTTCCTTGCAAATCTTAAAAATAACTTCTTGGTTTCAAAGTTATGCAAGATATTTCATGAGTGAATAGACGTGCATTTTCTTATTGTGAAGCAAATCATTTGAACGCATTTTATGAAGTACAAATAAATGGAATTTCGATAGAAATCTAAACCTTTTATTTATTATGATTACAATTTTTCGGTGTGTGCTGCAGTCGTTTAAACAGACATACAGTTGTCTTTGGAGTGTCAAAATCAGGTAACCGGGCTTGTACGAAGATGATTGTGGATAATTAATCAAGGTTTTCGTTACTCGAGTTTGAATAACACGTGGGATCATGCAGCGGAAAAGATGGTATTTTAACATCTAAACTAGTACCATTGTGTCTTTCAAACCGAAACGTTCCCCACATGTGTGCCCACTCCACAGGGAAGTGGATGTGGCTGTGATACTGGAAAACTGGACATTCTGGAGAAAGGACAGGTTGCTGAAATTTAAAGGAAAAGTAAATCAGAATATGTGTAAATTGCACCGTACTTACCATCCCTACAACTCCTTTTCCTCCGATTGACTCAAGGTTTCCAGATATTGAGAAAATTTTCAAAAAGCGTTCACGAAGTTGAACGCGGTCCATCGTGAGGTTTTCTATTCGGATTAAATAGCGCCACTATTTCACAATAAAAGAAATTAGGAAATATGTCATTTCGTATGACGTTAGTTTAATGTGCTTTTCGAGATTAAATGTAATTTGTACATGAATAGTAATTTTATTTAAAAGAACGCGGTAACCAGTGTCAACACAATACTGACGTACATCGTAATTACAGTCACTCACATTTACACGGTTTTGAGTCACTAAGTATTATTTTCTACTGTATTAGTTTTGTATTTCGACACCTTCCAAGGGATTTAGTTTGATTCTTCTTGGTTCAGTCGGTAATTTTTGACAGCTGAATTTAATTTCGATGTTTTGAGTACTGCACAAATGAATTAATTTTTCTACTAGATTCAGTAATAGTGGCTACTAATAGAGGTGACTATCAAAAAGGCACATGCTATTAAGAGTGAGGATTGAAAGTGGAAAAAGAACTGACTATATATATATTATATCCCAATGAGTAGAAAATTTTATTTCTGATATTTCGTAAACAAATAACCGAAATAAAATCCTTAAGGTCATGAAATCTATTCGATCTACTTTGTTATTTTGTCTTAACAACCAAAAATGTAGATCTTTACACGCCCAATGGAGAGCAAAAAGATGATGCTCGACATTTTTCGTTATGTATATTCCTGAAAATTTCGTCCTATTCAGTGAAACTTAGTGAATTATTATTGAAGTCCGTTATAATGGTAGCCAATTGACTAGGTGGGACTTATTATGCAGACCTGATGCTTTTATTATCATTATCACTAAGTAGCATATGATTGTTAGTTATTTATGAGTCGGATTATCATTTCTTTCAGTCAAAACAATGCTGAGATTTATGCTAAAACATTGAGACATGTTTTAAAAATTATTAGTCTTAAACCACAAATCCAACTACGCTACAATATGTTATAGATGATTTCGCTGCAGAGGCTTTATATCAGTTCGTTCCAATCCTGAGCTATGGCTGCAAGCTCTCATTATACCATGACTTAAACACCTAATTTCTTATGCACAGTCGATTGTTTACAGAAGCTTTATTCTGCTTTTTTCTTAAAATCCATTCACTTTTTCATATTCCTTAAGTGGATATTTATATCTCATCCATTCGGTTTTATCTTATCACTTTTTTTCGATTATTACGCAACCTCGTTTTGACCTCGAAAATAGCTACTATTTAGACTTTCCGACAGGCAACGCCGGTAAACAGGCATAAGTAAGCAGTACAAACTCTTCACACTGATAACTCAGCCTGAATGGGCGATTTATCAATACAATATAATAATCTTAAATATATATTAACTGATTAAATATGTTTAATCAGTAGGTAGAAAAGTCAACCGAATATAGATATAGACGCTACATACATTATAAAACTTTTGTAACACAGTCTAACAACGGAAGTGTAGACGTTCCACAGTGTGACTTGGAAAATTGGTTGGCTGCGGCCCCTATAACTTACTGGTCTCTTGACACAAGTGTCTTTAAAATATTTCATTAACTCTGACTTCTTTTTCATTCTATATGGAGAATGGTGATCTCATCAAACTATCAAATTCAGGTATGACGTTTTCAGCTGGTATAAAAGCTAACGCTGTCAAATGACGAGTCTACAGAGCAAAATTTTTACCCATCATGCAACGTTGCTGAAGTTTTCGCCATATACGCTGGCTCACTTGGAAGAGAAAACCTTGTTGTATTGCATTTGGATATATTTGTCGAAATGCTCAGTGTTAGTAGACAGTCATGATAGCTGATGTAGTTCGTTTAGTTTGTTAAATATGTGCGCATACGAATCCCTACTTTGTCACTCGAAACATAAATCGATGGAAAGATCGTAACAGATTTCACAGCGTGAATTGAGTATAGCTGACTAAATAAAAGTGATATCCTGAATGTCCCATCAGTATACTAATAAGGACACTGTTCCAACAATTTCAGTATCGAAATTCTATTTTTTGTCGGTAGGTAATTCCCTCCCCTAACAGTCGCCCTATACTCAGAGGGTTAATTTAGCCCAATTGAGGAACCTGGATTTGGTAAGGGCGACTGGTTTTTATCTCGTACACGCCGAATTATCTGTTTCACCAGATCAACAACTGAAAGTTGAGTTGATACTACATAAGACAAACCGGTTGACACTATAGTTATTATTTGATGTGGGAGCTTGTCGAAGAAGCTACTTAATCTTTTATTGTTGATTGTCTTATTAGCATTTATTTTAGCTTTATCCGGGATATGACTTCGCTTCGTCGAACATTTTGTAATGAATTCACACGTCGTATGACTGCGCGACTTACACTTTACGATACAATAATCCGTACATGTCCAAATATTTTTGTTGTTAACTACCTTCTCATTTATGAAGATGTAGCCATTCACTATTCAGAAGTTTGAGCCTTTATCGCACTACACGTATCCGAATTTCATTCCAATGAGGTGTAAAAAATATGACCTACGATGTAATCCATCAACTTCATGTACGATTGTTTCATTTTGAACTGTAATCAAATATTTTATTTCGAGACAAATAGACATAAATTCATTTTATATACCATTTTCACTGCAAATGCTTGTCATTAAGTCAATTACTATCATAGTTTACGGTTATCTGAAATTATCTAACAAACACTTATTTCATGTGCTACATCTGGCTGGCTCCAACAACGTGGTGCATGGCTGATTACACTAACGTGTACTTGAATACTGGACTTAATTTTCGTCACTATATACTACGTTTGGGTAGTAGTTTGTTTTAAATGATTTGACCTGAAGTTGCCCATAAAAATTACAGGAGCGAATAAAAGAAGTCTAATTCGTGATCATATTTATGCTCCACTGGGATTCAAAGACCATCTACACGTCAGTGTAAGAAGGTCAGGGATAGCAGAAAACCATGGGCCTAGGTTTCGTGCCAGTTGAGACTCGTCAACAAGACACGGCTGGGATCTTGAGAGAATTGGTTCTTATTGTATGATGTAAGCCAGTTTCGCAGTATGAGACATTACCACCGAGGTATTCGGACTACGAATGACCCACTTCAGGACACATAACTAGATTGGTTGGTCATTCAATGGTAAACTTTGTTGTGCTTGTCTAGTCCATGGAGATGGTCGGATTATCTTGATATTGCAGGTACATCTTGCCGATGAGTGCAAACTAACATTAAATCTACGTGTAGGTTTCTCTACCGATTACCTCCAACCACCTTTCATAATACTCTAGCACACACGATGTAGAGTCACTTAAAATAATCAACATATTCCCACATGATTAATAGAATCTAACGAGCACTAAGTACTAACTGAAAGTGACAATTCTTACCGTTTAGTGATTAATCAATTTAATTATCTAGGTGTCCTAACGGTAAACTGCCTTTTTCTGATCTTTTATCTTTCGAGAGCTGTTCACCGTGAAATTTACATTTTAAAATACTGAGTATTAAGGAACAGCATAGTTATGAAAAACAAACTTACGTAGCGTACATCATTTTCTTTTCTATCCTGAAAGGAAAAGAAATCGGTTTATAACAAACAATAGAGGATACATTGATCTACATAAAATTTATATTCAATAACTTACCTCTGTTACTCGACGGCCCATGTAAAAAGGCATTACTGTCGTTTGAACACCTTCGGTTACTTCACGGTGGATCGATGTAACTTCTAGACTTTGCTTTCGCGCCTCAATCCAGCGTCTTAAATGATCGGTTGGAATAAATGGTGGATCTTTTGTAAGAGAATATTTGCAAACATCCATAATTTTAACAGATACAATATTTCATGAAACTAAACGGTCAGACAATCGGACAAAGGTAAATAATAAGATTTTCTTTAAATAACTGTATAGAGTACTAAGTACTTTTACGCTTAATATTTTATCACACACTAAAAATGTAAGAAAACGAGACAGTTTCGCTTTTATATAATCAATTTATTATCCAACTCTGCTTACAATCTTTAAATACTTTACGTTGAATTCGAGTTCTGCTGAACCTAAATTAATCTGAATGGTTTAAATCAAATAAAATGATAGAAGTAACAAAAATTAGACTTTAAAGAGATATAACAAAACCACAGTCGTTATCAAGTTTGGGTTATACGTGGATGCTTTTTCAAAGCCAAGTAAGACTAAGTTCTGTTTCATTTTAATACAACGACAATAGACTTTGGAAACTGAAGAGGATGTATTTGTTTCGAATATTTGGTCGAAGAACAGTTGCACATTAATTTGGCTTTCCTAACATGTTGTTGATCGGGGATTTAGTTGTAAATCTCTCTACTTAGTTATTTAATGACCACAGATTGTTGCCACGTATCTTCATTGGCTTGAAAAACCCCAGACCATATAGAGTATGCACAACGGTTACGAGTAGAATTTTCTAGATGGAAATAGTTTTGTTTACTTAGTGATTTCACCCTACTTTTGTTTCTCAAATTATGACTTAAATGAGTGAGATTAAATAGGGTACATGTGGCAATGTCTAATTTAAGATCTAATCTATATTAGGAGAATAAAAAAACATTAATCATAACAATCTATTTCTGGGAAAGATCCGACAAACCGATATAATTAAACAAACCTTTATGATACTTAGTGAGCATAATGTCTGTTTAAGATGATAGATTTACTCAAGGAACTGTACTTACGCGTCAGTCAAGTTTTGCGACAAGATTTTACAAATATTTTAACATTTCTAAAGTTACTTTATATTTGCACAATTGTTGTTAGCTGGACAGATTGGATTAAATCATGTTCAATGCACGCTTGCGTTGGCGCACGCTGATTGGCTAATTCTTGTCCAATCAGCGCTAGGCGATACTTGGAGAATACTCGAAAAATTTGATGTAAAAACTATAAGTATACTAACGTTTTTCCTATTGTGTTTCTTACTTCCATTTAACCCTGTTATTTGGAATATAATCGCTTTCCTGTTCAACCGTATTCTGATTTGGGGACTTATCGAGTGAATTGGTGTCCGAGAATACTAAGCAATAGGAATAGCTAGGTTATAACCGTAAGAGAGGATTATAACAATTGTCTTTTTCATGTCGGTTAGGGCTGTTATTCGTCTTACTTATCCGATGAATTACACAGCAACATTAAGTATGTAGATATTAGTTCAAATGATTGTAATCACTTTGGACTGTTGCGCTAATTAAGTCATTTCCCATTGTAGGAACAAAGGTACGTCATAGTTATCCATGTTTTAACTGGGTTTTTTTTCATTGATGTTATGCACAAGGCCTCCACACAACTGATACCTGGACTTGGTGGAAAAGAATGTGAGGTTAATTTGTGACAAGACGCTACAGTGTGAAAGTTTATTGTACAAAACGGTGACCCGTCAATCATTTTCAACTCTCCGGTTAGTGCCCTAGAAATTATGAAACTCAGTCATTGAAGGGTTAGAAAACTAGACATCTAAGAGAAGTCATACAATGTAACTTTCATATGACTTATTGTAGTAGAAAATGTATATTCTGTGAAACAGCATTACTTCGTAATCGATACAGTCGATTACCTTCTAGATAGTTGAAACAGATAAAACGAGTTGGGCATGCATAAAAAATAAAGGAACATATAAAAATGGGTGCCGGATGACAAATCCTTAAAAACTAATGTTATTTTAACACCATGTAAGAATTACCTTTGTCTGGAGTAGAAAGCAAGAACTCACTAAAATATTGATTTCTAATTGGCGATGCATCTTGCGGAACGTAAGGTATGATATCATCATGGAAAACATAATCCATTTCTGTAGATGTTAATTTGAAATTCAAACAAACCTGACACTATATATATAGCATTAAACGCTCGTTTGTCATCAGGTAAAAAAGTAATACCATGTTTTAAAGCAGAATTCTAGAAACTAGAGCTCAAAAACTAGACCATCGTACACAAATTTCAGTGTCACTTTGATCCGTTAGAACTTGGTAAACATTCATTTCAGATTCTTCTCCCTTTGGAAATTCATGAGACGTCAGTTCTCTAAATCAGACTAGCAAACAGTAAAGTAAACATACACTGATTTCGTAGATTGTAGATTACGATCGAACAGCTTTCCCTTCCAACACTGTAGCACAATACCACGATAACCAAATTTCTTGTGTAAAAATATTTGACCAGGCTCATATAAAGATTCAGAAGCCTTTTGGAGGTGACCAATCAGTTCTAATCTGTGGCTGAACATTAAAGAATCCAAGTTAACCTGCCTAATCGGGCGACTGGGAGAAAGTAGATGCCTTCTGATTATGAATTCGGGAGCACGGAGACCAAAAGTTGGTAACAAACCAATGCCAAGTTTGTTTGTTAAACAAGCAACTAGCATTGAATATAATTGTTTAGGAGGGAACGGTTAATGTTTGTCGGGCCTGTCAGTTTCAGCTTTTTTCTAAAATGCCATCATGGTTATTAACGATGTAAATATCAGCCAATGATGTGTGCAAAACACAGATTAATCAAGGAGCAAGATATAGACAGACGACAACAATGAGGCAAACAGATATAAATAAGTAATAATAGTCCTAAGAAGCGAAATTTGATTTAAACACCCATCATACTGTTCAGAGGAGGAAAAAAGGATAGGCAGCAATACATGAGAAGTGATTGAGAATTAGATTAAGACGACCAACAAAACCGTTTAATACCAAATAAAAATTAACGGGGGGATATCAAACTTCATTTATTCCCAACGACTGGCCAAACTACTGTAGAAGTAGGTTGATAAGATCAAACGAAAATATAGGAGTATTCTATGAAACTGTTCAGTGATGAATTGAGTATTATGGTAATTAGCAGCTAAAGTGAGTGGAGACTTTTTGTGTGAGTTTTGTTATAACAATCAAACGATACTCATATCCAACTCTCAAACGTATTCGGGAGTCGATATCTATTGGGAGGGACGATATGTGACCGTAGCCAAAGACTAATAGGTGAGAGGCTACTAAGCTGATTAGCTAGATTTTGGGAAGTGTTTTGACAAACAAGCAAGCTCGACTCATGAGAATTTTGCCTTACATATATAGAAAATACATAATATAGTCGAAAGTTTCTAGCATTTTGCGTGTTACTGTTTCTTGGAACGGACTTAAAGTTACTACGATGACTTATAAGTCCCTATCTTAGATGAACAAATGTTGTAATCGCCCTCGTGAATCACCACAGAGAATACTGAGATTTTGAGACTGTTCTATGTGATGTAGTAACTAAAAGCACTTAGCAGAATTATCATTAATAGACTTGAGTCTACTTTGAGATACAACAAACATGCATTACTACTGATCATTACCTAAGACAAAAACAACGGGGAAATAAAGGCGACATATGTCCCGAAATTCACCCAAACTAGTCCCAGAAGTGAAGCTAGTCATCTTGACCTCTCAGCTGACCGACGCGAATTGGTTAGATGGTGCAAAGGAAGGGACATATTAATCAATTCTATGAAATATGCTAACGTACATTGAACACAGCAGTAGTTACCAGTATACCGCCAACTATACACTGCTTCCACGCGTGCAGGAACAAAAAAACAGGAGTAACAGTAATTCATGACTTAAATGCAACTGTAGATCGCAGCGCAGCAGCCGCTCCACCTATAGGTGGAGCGTAAAATGTAAGATGACACGTAGAGTACTGCATTCAAGCAGCTGGTCCACATCAAATTGAGGGTGCTGACACTCGGACGTGTTCAGCTCTAGAGAAAAAAGTGAAGATTCTTACCAAACTCCCTAACGATGAGTGCTTGAAACATATGAACCTTTACGTCTTATCGTACCATAAAACGCGAGGTGACCTTATATTAGCATTCCGTATCTTTGATAACGAGGTCATAGCAAGAAAGTCCAAAAAACCACAATCAAATAAACCCAGATTGAGGTCCCGTTTTTTCTCATCGAATAGTCAACAAGAGGAACGCCTTACCCGAACAAGTGGTATCAGCCCTGTCGATGGGACTGGTACCACTGATACCCATGGATTAATTACTGTGACGATACATTCCGGTTGTAAGACTGACAGCAGACTTCAAAATCCTAAGCAAATAATAAATACATACTGCGAGGGAGTCCCACGAGAAAAAACCCAAAAGCACCACAGGCAGTTGTTAGCTCAATAATCGCGCCAAACCCCTATCCGCATTCTGATTTGTTGATTTTTACAAGCATAAGAATTGCAGTCAATTCCATGTTACTTTACCACATTTACGCGGTCAGATTGTTGTTAAGTGAGTCATTTGGGCGGACGATTATTGCAATCGTTTTTTATTTTACTCGACTCATTATTATTTGTTTGAATCTTTCACAATTCCCTAATACAACCACGTACTGCTGACTTCGAATTCGCTATTAACGAGTTACTGTAGAGCAACTCGTTTCATTTGATAATATCCTATGTATGCACTGAGGTCACCTGTTTTCTAACTATAATCTCGAGACTATGAGTAATTTATTGCAAGCAGCATTATGAATTTTTTTAATTCTCGCAAGTATTAATGGACTATCAAGTCATATGTCTAAAATTTTTCACCTTCCTATGTATTTTAAACACGTGTACCTTAACTGATTTCAAATGTACTGTCAGTACATTTGCCTAATAAAACCTATTGGTTTGAAATACAAGCGGTGGCACCTTTGAGCGAAGCTAAAGTGACCTTGAGAGTTTCCACATAATACCTAAGACCAAATGAGTGTTGTAAACCAGTATAAAGAATTTGAATTGTAATTTTCAGTTGATGGTTAGGGTTATGAATCAGATTTAGGGTTATCACCACGAACTGACATCAGCTATAATGCCGAAACTCAATTTAGCCAAATGGATGAGTGAATTTCGCGTCAAAATCCGAGACCTGGTATCTCATACCTGATTGGTCCGTCCATAAATTGTAGTCTGGTCGTACAAGCAGAACATTTGCATCACAGAAATCATACAGTTAGTCGTTCTTATTGCTCATATGGAAAATGCCTTGACTGAAACAGCATTGCGAATGTCGTTAATATGGCTAAAGTTATTTTTAATTAGGGTCGTTTTCTTCTCACTCCACCTATAGCTCTTCTAGGGTTACTGCCGGTCCCAAGCCCGGTTAAAGGAGGAGGGTTGAGCATGAGATCAGCTCTCCCATCTTATAGAAAACAACCTTGCTAAAAATACGCTAACCAGAATAAACAAATTAAAACATTTAAACTCTGCCCGCCGAGTTGAGGGAAAAATCATGATACACGATGAAATTCGAGATTCTTCGGAAGTCACGAAGCCGATGTCTCTTCTAACAACCACAGCAACAATTTTTATAGGTACACGGAACGTCCGGACAATGTGGGGTACCATGAAGACCAGTCAAATAGCAACAGAAATGAGGAGATACAACTTGACAGTGCTCAAAACCAGTGAAACCCATTAGACCCTAACTGAACAGCAATAGTTAGATACAGAAAAGATGCTGCTGTACTCCGGTCACGAAGAGGAAAATGCTCCACACACCCAGAGAGTTGTACTGATGCTGTTCAACAAGCACGAAATGCACTTATAGGATGAGAATCTCATGGATTCAGGATCATCAAAGCATCATTCAAAACAAAGAAGCAGGGAATCAAAATGAATGTCATCCAATGTTGTGCAACCACAAATGATAGCAATGACGATGATAAAAATCAGTTTTACGAGAGATTGCAATCAATTATAGCGAAGTCCTCAGGAAAGGATCTCATCATACTGATGGGAGATCTAAACACCAAAGTCGGAGTAAACAACACTGAATATGAGGATATCATGGGACGATATGGACTGACTGAGAGAAAGGAACGAGAATGGTGAAAGATTTTCAAATCTATGTGCATTCAACAAAATGGTTATAGGTGGCACAATATTCCCACACAAACACATACACAAAGCTACATGGGTCTCACCGGAACACAGCACGAAGAACCAGATCGATCATATTCGCATCAGTAAAAATTTCACAAGGTCAATGGAAGACGTGAGAACCAGGAGAGGAGCTGACACGGCTTCAGATCACCACCAACCAGTGGTTGTTAAGATGAAGCTGAAGCTAAAAAAGCATTGGACAACTGGACAAACAGCATGGTAAAGGTTCAATATAGCCTTCCTTCGAGATACTGACAAACTCTACGAATTCAAGATGGCTCTAAACATCGGGTTCCCAGCCTTACAAGAAGAAGAGAAAATTACAGCTTTAGATGACAGGCTATGCATAACATTTTGAAACTGAACTTATGTTGCCAAAACATGATCAATCGTTACTTATCTCGATGAGCGCCAATCTCTTTCTTAATAACTTAGTCCATATTTCTAGATTATATGAAATTGTAGTTAATCCGGAGATAGTTGTCTATAACCATGTAGTTTTTCGTTGACAAAAGAAAATAACTAAAACAAAGGACAGATTAGATATTTTAGAAAACAGGATCGGCATGTCATAACTCCAATATATATTTGAATTAGCTTGCATTCTATCACAACTACTTCCGAAAGAAAGTTTTAATGACCTTATCGAATTTCCAGTTCTGATAATGCATACGTGTTTAAACTGCTAGTTACAAATTTACTCTACTCACATCTAGCGAATGCCTGTGCATGTGTATTGTTAAGTAGCTCACATAGCTCTGGTGGGTTTCTTGTAAATTCATCATTGACCTTTGAGACAGTAAAAACATTAGATTGTAATCAAAGTTTGTTCAGCTTCTCACTCCTTAATCTAACAGAAGTCATTAATATTGATAAATACTGACTGGATACTGAGCATAGCTGAAAAGTCATCTTAAACAAAGAACCCTTTTCGCAACTTCCTCACTTTGGATCTCAATTCAATGTGTCCGTTTCCATGTTATTGTACGTCAAAATATTCATACTTTTTGAGATGATTTTCGGTAGACTTTCTAAAGGAATGCTAATTAGAATTTCTACTTCATCTCATCTTATTCATATGTGCGTAAGAATGCCCAGTTCCTCGAGTAAATATGTACTCACGACCGTCCATGAGTATTAACCGGTCTAACTTTGGACATTCGACCTGGTATTTAATTCGCGTAACTTGCTAAGTCAAACATTTAACTCTCACCGAAAGGATCGATTAACTCTTCTGATAGTAATAAAGTAACCTCGAAGACTAGTTCCGCTTGAAATTAGCCGTGATAGATGTCTTTATTTCCAGAATAACTAATGTCAGAGATTCTGTCCGCCATATGGAGTTTGAGCATTATACTAGGGAAAATTGTAACTGGTGATGGTGACATTCCACCTTTACATTAACCTGAGGATTGTGAGCTGTGCGATGTAATCTGCTAGGGCTTAAAAGTTTCGACAGTTTGATGAATAGCTCAAATTCCAATCGGGCTCCTCTACCAATCATTTATTGCAACAGGTTTAGTAAAAATAGTCACCCAGTTCTGAATGGAGGCTTTGGCCACTGAATCAACTGTGATGCTGGTTGTTTGTATAGCTACTGTGAACTTCGTGAATCTGTCGTCTAAGTAAATAATCAAAACCATTAAAATACTGTAAAGGATCTACTACATCTATACCAGTATTCACAAGAGGTGGAATGGATTGAGAGTACATCTTTACAGGTGAAATTGTATGACGTAAACTCCGGACTAATGACACGCTGAGAACTCATTAACCTCTTTAAGTACATCGCTTTGAGAATTTGGCTGTATATATCTACCATTAACTAGTTTGACAGTAGTTTCGTGCCGGTCGGTAAGCCTCGTTTTACTAAGAAAAGAAACTGGACTGGTGGTGAACATATTTTTATTTTTGAATCCTGGAAGGTGGAATGGAGCGCGAGGTTACCCTTTCAAGCCCATAGAGCTTGTCAATATTCAATATGAAACAATAGAAGTACAATCCTCATACAGTATAAGGAAGTTATTAAAAACTGAAGCTTCAATGTCTTGATATTTGCTTGGGGTTTTGCGGTCGACTCTTGACCAATCAACTTAAGTTGTAGCAGCAGATTTCGCGACAATATGAGACAAAGTCCGAAAATCATTGAATATACACTTTTTTGGAAAAGGGAGATGAAGGCGTCATCTCGATCGTGTCACAGTAAATCAAGCTACCTTATTATTTGATGATAGCTGTTTTAGTTTAAATGCAGACTTAGTAATAGTAACAAGTTTACATGAGACATGCCAGTTTACAGGCAAAATCAAATTGTTACAAAAGATACAATTTTCACTGTAGTAAATTACTCCGTTGGGTCTCTTTCTGGTCGTCTCCTAAAGGTTCGAAATATGCGGTCGATTCCTGATCATATTGATTTACGGCCGAGATAATGCATTTGTTGCCTGACTCTTCTGGCATTTGACTCATCGTAATCTCCCATCAACTGTGATAAAGAATCAAGGTGTCACATCCCTCCAGGGAAATGGTCATTAAATTCAGCATTTAATATATTTGTAACGATCGAACTGCCAATATTCGGTTTGAACTCAGGACTGACGAACCAAAATTTATTCGTATAGGTCAAACGACGTTCTTCTGTATAGCGTACGAAGCGTTTTTGAGATACTCCTATTAAATTATATCAAAACACAAACTCTGCGCCCGATTTAAACTGTTCTAATTTAGAAAATAGAACAAATCATATCGAAAATACCAAATACTTCGAACAGTAAAGCCTGTGCTATGCAGTCAAAAATTTCTCTAACACAAATAAGAGTGCCAAACAACAAAAGAAACAGTTAATATAAACGAGTTCGGTACCCGAAAATCAATAAAAATGTCCCCGAAAAGATGGTATCAGATATCTATCTGAAGGGATTCCAGCAATCTTTCTAAGCAGAGAGTCAAATGTTATAGTCTTCCCGTTACACTATTGGTGAGTGGTTTACGAGCTATGTAAACTATAAATTCCATGTCTCTGAACAGGTAGTAGAAATGCTTGATGGCTGTGTAGACCGCGAGAAGTATTCATCGGTAGGTAGTCTTTTTAAGAAGGATGCAGTTGGTTGTCATGCATTTCCAAGTGGTTGGTTAAATACACAGCCTTCTACTCTATCTGAAGCGTCCACCCCTGAGGTGAGTGGTAAATTGGATTCCGGATGCGTCAGTACAGATGCTCAGGTTAGGTGTTCTTCAGTACTTCAACAGCCTCAGGAGTCAATCAGATACCTTACGA